GTGGTGAGGCCCTGGCCGCAGAAGCTGTGGCTGCCCCCTCCCTGGCAGGGTTCAGGCCCAGGCTGGACAGGGCTTTGAGCAAACTGGTCTGGTGGGAGGGGTCCCTGCCCGTGGTAGTGGGCTTGGAACTGGATGATCTTTAAGGTCCCTTCCAACCCACATCATTCTACGATTCTACAAAAAAGTAAAAATATAGTATTATTTGGTTTTTGCAGTCTTCATCACTGCAAATTCACCCCGCATTTGCAGTCATTCTCACTGTAACTAAGAGTACTAATTACAACTGCATGGCTCTTGTCCTGTTATCTATCAGGACGTGCAGTGGGGAAATAACTCACTGTAAAGTTAATCTGGCAGCCTCCCATGACGTAGTCCAGAAACGAATATTCGGTCTCAATCTAGAGGAATAGACAGTGTTACACCTTCCCACAAGAACAGACTTCATTATGACCAGAAAATAAAAAAGCCCAAACCAGCAAAAACCTTCCTACCTTGCAGGACTTTATCCTAATAATGCCAGAGTTTTTGTAGCTCTTTTTCTTTTGTTTTTTCTCAGGATGAATGCATTCAAATTCCACCTACAGGAAGCAAGCATGCAAGAAGCAAATTCCAAAATATCTGCATTTACAGGGCAAATTATTGAAACAGAACGGTGTCAGACATCACGTAACTTCAGAACTACCCAAGTATCTGGCAGAATTCTGAAACATGAATTTTCAAAAGGTTTGCAACTACTTTGGCTGCTGACAAGTTAAATGGAATGCTTTTACTACCAGCATTGGGCAAAACATATGAGGAAAGACCTGAGAAAAGTCTCTCCTCAACAACGTAACTATTACTCCGTATGCAATCATGGAACTGTGTCATTGTATCAGAGGGAAAAAAGTAAATCATAAATACAAGCATTTATCTTAACATAATCCATTCTTTTTCAGTTAAAGGAAGGGAATTCACTCAAACGGCAGACAGGAGGCAAAATCTCAGGGTGGAGGAGGCTACAGAAATCAAGTTGGGTGGCAACTGGAAGCAGTCCTAGGCCATGTCCCATGTGTGGATTCATCTGTCTGAATTCAGACAAGACAACTCCACAAGAACGAGAGTTGAGGTTTTCAGGTTTCACTGCAGATAACCAAGAGAAACCGGCACCACCAGCAAACGACTCAACTTGTTCTAATCGTCTGCCGACGACCAGGCAAGAAGAGTGCCTCTTGGAAGCACTGCTTCTCTCCGCTAGCTAGAAAGGTGACCCGCGTGCTCGTGAAGGTGACCAGCTCAAGGACAAACGTTAGCCGAGACAAGCCTACCTCTGGAGTCATCTGTTAAAGCACGAAGAAGCCCTTTTGTTTCCACGTGACTCAGCAGGGGCAGAAGCAAGCTGAACTGCTGGGAAAAGCGGCTGGCGAGGCGGCCAGCCGCCA